TAAGGGGAGCTGGATTTTAAACTGGCTTTCTTTGTGGACCAGCTCCTGCCTGGCACCCCATGCTGCTGCCTCTGATACAGAGGCAGCAGTGTGGACTGGCAGGGGCCTCTTCAGGAGTGGGGCTGGAGCACACAAGCTGCCCGCCCCAGCCCTGGGGACTGTATAATAGTTGAGTAACCGATAAGAATTCATGCGGTTAATCAACTATTCAATTAACCAGGAAGGAGTTCCATTGACTTCAGTAGTTTTGGACCAGCTCTAAAGGCGCTAGTTTGTTTAAACTAGTGACCTGAAAAACCTATTGCCATGCCCTGGACCATTTCACTCCTCCTTCCCGCTTCCAGATCTGCTTACTCAATCAGCTCCATAAGTTATTGCCCCTTGTGTTATGAATGGGGTTTTTTTTTTTTAAAGGGAATCAGTGACAGACTTTGAATATAGTTATCAAGCAACTTGTGTGATGGGTGCAGGCCGTGATATGCTACGTACACCTTTGCTTGCAATCTAATTTCAATGGAGCAGTATTTCTCATGGCAGCTAGCAGGAACTTCTGTTGTTCATCATGCCTTTTATTAACATTGCCACGTCTCTTTGATTTCACTTTTTGTGTTAGTGATTATCCTGAGTCTATCACCTGCAAAAAGGCAAGATAATCGAGGGAGGATGTTTGTGCCAGTTTCAAATTGCTTTCAATAGAAGGCTCTGTTTGCAAAAGTGTAGCTCACGGTTTTCTTTTTTCCTCCTTTAAGATACAGACAGCCCTGAGGCATAAGTCAGAGATTGAACATCACCGTAATAAGATCCGTCTCCGAGCCAAGCGCAAAGGCCACTATGAATTTCCACTTGTGGATGATGTGATTGTCATTGATGCCAAAGAGCAGCACAGAATATACCGCAAGGCGCAGATGCAGATTGACAAGATCTTGGACCCTGGGGGCAACGTGCCTACTGTTTTTATCGAACCCAGGAAGAGGTACAGACTAAGAGCCAGAGAAAGATTCATTCCTTTTTAAAATTAATGTCAAGACTTGCAAACTGTGTCAGGCCTATATTTCTGCACTTGGAGACCTTAGAATCATTAAAGAATGTGTGGATTGGAGAGGTGAAAGGATTGGGGTTATTTTGAGTATTTTGGGCTAATCAATACATGCCAGAGGTTGGTTTGTGGTTTTTTTTTCTTTAACAGCATTCAGAGGGATATATGTTCTTTTAGAGGTTCTCATAGACAGTTTATCAATAACAGACCCAAACTTACCAAAGCCATTTTAAAAGAGATGTTTATAGTTTATGCTGTTACTTTTGCTTTTTACTTTCATTTTGTAGTTGTGTCGGACCACATGGAAACCATTTAACTCTTCTAGTGTAGTTGTTAAATACCGTGTAATTTTGGGACCAGGCTGAAGCAGAACTACTTAAACGCTAATTTTACTTAAGTATCCCAGGTAACAAAACAGAGTAAAACAAAATTTGAATTCACTTACAAGAACTAACGGAGACTAAGGAACAAGAAAAAAGTAAACAGCAAAAATACTATTTTCATATCAAAACAAAGAAAATGTAGTCAAGAGACTATGAAAACGAATTATAAAATATATAAAAATGCAAATGTATAGAGCTGTGTGTGGATACAAATGTATATATACATGGGTGCTAATCAGTATCCACGGAACCACAGGACATTCCTGGCAACTTAGTGATGAAAGAAGCAGAACATGGGCCTGCTTCATTCAGAAGCCAGCTCCCCCCACACGCAGCTCCCCTGCCCTGTCTACACAGCTGTCTGCATCTACTGCCCAAGGGCATGCCAGTGAGCTTGGTGCTTGCCCAATTGGTGGGGCTGGTGGCAGTACAACCATGCCAGCGGAGCTGCCGGTGCATAGCACTGTCTCCTGGGAGCAGTGGACTAAAATTCTGCTCCCTTCACCACTGTAGTGCCTGAGAAAACCCTGCAGTTCCACAGATACTGATTTATATCCATGGATATCTGCCTCCGCAGGTACCTGCACAGGCTCTACAAATTTCTCTTTAAAACTCTGCAAATACCAGACAATAAAATCCCTTCTTTCCATATTCCTTCATGGTAACCAGGTATACATAGCACTTATCTTACAGACCTTCCCTCCTGATCCTGTATTTCAGAAAAGTGTCCCCTCTGTAGGGTATAGAGCCATGGTCACCAACCCGTCGATCACGATTGACTGGTCGATCGCAAGGCCTCGACCAGTTGATCGTGAGGTGTTCGGGCACCCCCACACTCGAGAAGCCCCACTACCTACCTCTAGTGTAGTGCCGGCTTCCCGCGGGGTGGACGGAAGTCCTGTCTGAAGCCCATGTCACTTCCGGGGTTTCCGGAAGTGCGTGGGCTGCTCCCCTCCCACAGCTCTGTTGCGTGCTGAAGGAGGGGGTGTCGGCCCTGGAGGAGGAGTGCGGCAGCTTCCCTGCGCTGCGGGAGCGGGGGTTCGCCCCGGGGTTTGGCCGCACTGCGGGAGAGGAGGGGGTTGGCCGGGAGGAGGGTTTGGCCCCGGGGCAGGCGCCCGCAGGGGTTGGCCGCGCTGCAGGAGGGGAAAGGAGGCGAGGGGGGGAGGGGTTGGCCAGGCTGCACCATGGGAGGGGGGGTCTGGCCTTGGGGCAGGCGCCCGCGGGGGTTTGGCCCTGGGGCAGGCACGCGTGGGGTTTCCCTGCACCGTGGGGGGAGGCGGGAGTCGGGCCCAGAGGAGGCACGTGCTGGCTTCCC